CAACAACAACAACAACAACAACAACAACAACAACAACAACAACAACAACAACAACAACAACAACAACAACAGGCAGTGTTTATAAACAACAATAAAAACAGGCAGGGTTAATAAACAACAACAACAGTCAGAATAAACAAACAACAACAACAACAGTCAGAATAAACAAACAACAACAGTTCTGCTGCAGACTCCTGACCTCTAAGGTCCGGATGTGGGCCAGCTCTTTGGGGAGCTGCAGGATCTTGTTGTCACTCAGGTCCAKAGTCCTCAGGCTGCTCAGAGAGCCGACTGAAGCCGGCAGCTCAGTCAGACAGTTACCTGTTGGAGGGAGCAGGTGAGTCAGGTGACCTCGCTCTGACACAAACAGGAAGTGAAGAGCTCACCTTTCAGGTTGAGGGTCTGCAGGAGCTGCAGGCTCCCGATGGACTCTGGCAGAACCTTCAGACGGTTCTTCTCCAGGTTCAGGATCTGACAGGAAACAGTGATGATGACGAGCAGAACCTTTACACCAACTTCCTGTTCACCTGCTGAGGGCGGGGCTTACCTGCAGGCCGGTCAGCTTCCCCAGATCCTCTGGGAGGGACGTGAGCTTGTTGTCATGAAGATCCAAAACCTGCAGGAGCCCAAAGAAGACCTCAGAACCGGGTCAACCAGAACCTGAAACAGTCTCTGTGTTTACAAATCTTTATCTGTTAAAGAGGTCCTGGAGCCTTTTGAATCAATCTAGGATAAGAGATTAAGCTGGGATTAAACCTGAATTAAGCAAGCCTTGAACCCAAACAACATGTCCATGTCATCAGTTCTACAGACCGGATTTTTCTGTTTCACTTCCTGTTCCTGAAAATTTAGGAGAGTTCAGCAGAAACATTAAAAAACTAAAAACTGAAACTGAAAAAAAAAAAAAATAATAATAATAATAATAATAATAACAATTCAGCCAAAGTTCAAAGAAAGTCTAAGATCCAAACTCTGGATCACTAAAGCCTGGATCTTTACATTCTGCATTTTTAAAGCCTGGATCATTAAAGCCTAGAACATTAAAGCCTGGATCATTAAAGCCTAGATCATCAAAGCTTGGATCATTAAAGTCTAGAACTTTACGGTCTGGATCTTTATAGTCTGGATCATTAAAGCCTGGATAATTACAGTCTGAATCATTACAGTCTGGATCTTTAAAGCTTGGATCATTAAAGCCTTGATCATTAAAGTCTGGATCATTACAGTCTGGACCTTTATAGTCTGGATCATTAAAGCCTGGATAATTACAGTCTGGATCTTTACAGTCTGGATCATTAAAGCCTGGATAATTAAAGCCTTGATCATTAAAGTCTGGATCATTACAGTCTGGATCTTTAAAGCTTGGATCATTAAAGCCTTGATCATTAAAGTCT